AACTGGTGGGGCTCCTCATGAGGGCGCCGAGGGGTTGATGAGTGAGGACATGAACCGGGTGAGTTTGAAAGTAGTGGCCCAACTTCTTGACGGTCCAAACGATGGCTAACACCATTTTTTCCACAGGAGAGTACCTGAGCTCGGCCTCCTTTAGGGTCTTGCTTACATAGAAGATGGCATGTTAGATGCCGTCTTCCTCCCGGATGAGCACGGAGCTGATGGCTGCCGGGCTGACCCCAAGGTAGAGATAGAGGGTCTCCCCTACCTTTGGTTTGGAGAGCACAGGGGGTGAAGATAGATATCGTTTGAGCTCGTCGAAAGCCCCCTGGCATTCCGGAGTCCATTGAAAGCCAGCCGTCTTCGTCATGATCTGGAAGAAGGGTAGAGACTTCTCCGCTGATTTAGATAGAAAGCGGTTGAGGGCTGCCAGGCGGCCCGTCAACCGTGGAACTTCCTTCACATTGCGTGGGGGCTCCATGTTGATGATGGCCTGGATCTTCTCGGGATTGGCCTCAATACCCCTTCGGCTCACCATGTAGCCTAAGAATTTGCCCCCTTGGACGCCGAAGGTGCACTTCTTCGGGTTTAGCCGAAGGTTGAACTTTTGCATGATGGCGAAGATTTCCTGGAGGTCGTCGGCATGGATGGAAGATTGTTTGCTCTTGACGATCATGTCGTCAACATAGGCCTCCATGGTGCGCCCTAGGACGGCCTGAAAGACTCGGGCCACCATCCGGGTGTAGGTGGCCCCTGAGTTCTTTAGGCCGAAGGCCATCACTAGGTAGCAGAAGATGCCCTCGGGAGTCATGAAGGCTGTCTTTTCGGCGTCTTCCTCATGCATGAAGAACTGATGATACCCGCGGAATGCGTCGAGGAATGACATGATTCCACACCCCGCGATCTCATCTACAAGTTGATCGATATTGGGCAAAGGAAAAGGGTCCAAAGGGCACGCCTTGTTGAGATCCGTGTAGTCCACGCACATGCGGAAGGTAGGAGGCTTCTGTGCGAGGACTATGTTCGCCAGCCATGAGGGGTATTTTACCTCCTTGATGTGCTTAATAGAGAGGAGCATGGCGACCTCCTTCTTCACAAATTCCCTCCTTTCGGCAGAGAGGGGTCTTCTTCGTTGCTGTACTGCTTTTGCCGAGGGGTCCACCGAGAGGCAGTGGGTGATGACCCTTCGGCTTATTCCCGGCATGTCCTCCGGCCCCCATGCAAAGACAGTGGAGTAGGCGCGGAGGGCGTCGGTGATACCGGTCTTCAGATCTTCAGGGAGCTGGGCTCCAATCTTCACGACTCTCTCCGGCTTGGCCGGATCGAGCGCAAAGTCTTCTACGTCCTCGGCTGGTTCACCCCTCGGCCTTTTTTCTTCTTCGTCGATGGTTCCGGTGATGGTGTCAACACGGAATTCTGTCTTACTTACCCTCTTCGTGACTTGAAGATAGCAAGCGCGGGCGATTTTCTGATTCCCCCGGGAGTAGGCAATGCCCCCCTCGGCGGGGAACTTGAGGCAGAGGTGCCTCATGGAGATGACGGCCTCGAGGTCCTCGAGGGCTGGCCGACCGAGGATGATGTTGTGGGCGCAGTCGAAGTTGACGACGACGAACTCCACTTCGAGCTGGGCTCTATGGAGCCCGTCGCCGAAGATTACCCGGAGGGTTATTACCCCCTCGGAATCAATAGTATCGCCGGTGAAGCCGGCAAGAGGGGTCTTAATGGGCCGAAGGGACCCCCTCTCCAGATGCAGCTCTCTAAAGGTGCTGAGGTACATTACATTGACGGAGCTGCCCGTGTCAATGTAAGTTCGGTGAATGATGGTGTTGTTTATTTCAGTCCGAATCACCAAGGCATCCCTATGAGGAGAAGAAGTAGGAGGGAGATCTGCGTTGGTGAAGGTGATGGGTTCCTCCCTCAGCCGCTTTACCGGGGGCATATGGGTGACTTCCCCCACGTAAAGCGATTGAGCCCACTTTTTCCGTTGACTGGTGGAATCGCCCCCTGTATTGCCACCGGTGATCATGAGGATGTGGCGTTTTTTCTCCTGGTAGTGGGGGTACTCCTCCTCTTCCTCCTCCAACTTTCTGATCTCCCTCTTCTTGCCGAGGGGGATGGTGTTCGGGTTCACCCAAGCGTTCACCTTCGTGTGGTGCCCTCGGGGAGGTCCCTGATGAGAAGGTCCCTCCTGCCGAGGGCTCTGGATAAATTGGGACAGATGGCCCGCTTGTATCAATCTCTCGATGGCCGTCTTTAGCTGATGGCAGTCATCGGTTCTGTGCCCCTGATGCCGATGGAAACGACAGTAGGGGAACTGAGGGTTGATAGCATGTACCTCCGGGGGTGCGCGAGAATCGCGCTCAACGAGGCCCCTCTTCTCGGCAAAATCAAGGATGATGCTGACGGGGTGCGTCAATGGTGTCCGGGGGCGGTCCAGGAGAATGGGCTGTGCCCAAGTCTTAGGGCTGCTCTTATAACCTCCCCCGGGTTTGGCTTGGCCTTGCCGAGGGCGGTCATCAGAGGGTCCTAAAGACTTGGGGTGATTTGGAGGAGCCCCCGGCCCTCGGTTGTTCTTGTTGTCAGCCTTCGGGGGCTGCTGCTCCGGATGCTGGTGGTATTTCTCCACCTCCCCGGCCTCAGCATATCGGTCCCCCCGCTGCAGGGCCCTTATGTAGTCGCGGGGGGGTTCAATGATGAGGCTCCTTGAAAAGTTGCCGGTGCGGAGGACGGTTTGTAGGAGGGCCAAGAGGGTCCCGTCGTCAGCACCGTCGACTTTGTCGGCTTCCGTTCTCCAGCGCTCCAGGAAGTCCCGAAGGGTCTCATCCCTCCTTTGGCGTATGGTTAGGAGGTGGGAGAAGTGCTTCCTCGTGCGACGCCTCCCGGCAAATTGCGTCAAGAATCGTTGGGCGAGTTTTTGCCACGAATCAATGCAGCCTTCGGGCAACCGGTTGAACCATTCGTATGCCGGCCCCTCTAAGGTGGAGAGGAACCAACGACACAAATATTCGTCCGACGCCCCTACCATCATCATGCTGTTCTGATATTTGCTGTAGTGTTCCTGGGGGTCCGTCTTCCCATTGTAGGGCTGTATGTGTTGCCCTCGGTATTTTTCCGGGATCCGGGCCGCCAATATCCTTGGGGTAAATGGCGTCCGGGTCCGGAGCTGGATGATGGGTTCCCCGGAGCCCTCGGCTACCTTATTCTGCAATTCCTCCATTTTGGCCTCGTATTTGAGGTCTGAATGAGGGGTGGAGGTGGTGGCGTGAGCTTTGTTGGCCTCCATTTCATCAAGCCAGCGTTGGAGGGCCGCAATAATTTCGTCTCGGGGATCCTTCGGGAGGGTCTCCGCCCCCTGCGAACGAACCCGGGCCGAGTGGGCCTAGTTGATTTGGTGGCGAGCATCGTCGGCATGAAGGGGTGCCTTGCCTTTGTCCCGAGGGGGACGCTCCTCGTCTGCCCTCGAGACAAACCCTCCGCTTTCCTGGGGCCTTTGGATGGCTTTTCCTCCGAGGCGGTCTTGGACCCCTCGGCGGTCTTGCCCCCCTCCGAGCTGGTTGAGGGCGGAAGTGTGGGGCCTTTCTCTGTTGTCATTGTGGCGGTCCCGGGACTGAATTTCCTGGGAGGCCGTATCTTGGGCCACTACCCCTTCGTCATTCCTAACCCGAGGGATGGGGTTTCCGAAGGGGTGTGGCAGAGGGGGAAGTATGATGTTCTCCCCAACCTGGGGTTGAGTCGGAGCCAGGGTGCCGAAGGCACCTGGGTTCTGAGTGAGCGTCTGGATGAAAGCGGAGAGTGCCGAATGAACGTCGATGGTGAGAACCGGAGGGCTGACTTGGTCATCGCTCCGGTTCTTCTTCTTGGCCTCGATGCCGAGGCGGGCATCGGGGGCATTCTGCTGGATCTGAAGGCGTAGGTCGACAGCCGCCTGTTCCAACCCAGCGATGACACCGCCCTCGGGAGCCCTGTGAGAGGCTTCGGGAGCGTTGACATCGCCGAGGGCCAGGTTCTTGTCTTCTACGTTTTTGGAGTTGGCACGTGTTGTTCTCACCATTTTGGTAGAGGGCTAGTGTTTGGCGAAGGGGGAGGGTTTCTTACTTGATCGTTCGAGCTCTCAACGAGAGCACCAAATGATGGATAGTGTACCCGGGGGTAGCTTATTCGGGGGGTTATTGCGGGGAATAACAAGAGAGAAGTCAGAGCAAGTAAGTATAGAGAGAGAAAGTGTATTTAGAAAGTATGCAGCGTTTATCACTTGGTTACAAATGGGGAAATAGGGTGCTATTTATAGTAGCAATAAATGCCGGACAGGGACACGTGTCAAGCGTCTATTGGCTGAGAGGTCACCTCAACTGGTTGGCGCTGGCAGCCGCATGTGGCCGCATTTAATGCGGCTGTTGGATGGGACGTTGTACAGGGTACGGTGATCTGTACGCATGTGGCGCGGATATTATGTCGGGAGAGGTGCCCTCGGATGCAGAGGATTAGCCGAGGGCTCTGAGTGCCGGGGACCCCTTGGGTGCCGAGGGCTCCAGGTGCCGAGGGCTACTGTTTTCTGCCGTTTTCCTCTCAGTTTCTTAGTTTGCTTGAAAAACCCGTCCTGTGAGAGTTTTGAGCCTTCGGCCAGGGGGGCGAAGGCTCCCCAGTGTGCGCTGTGGGCTGCTAAGTGCTTGAGGCGCCGTAATTTGGGGCCTGTTGTGCTTCCTGGGCCGGTTGGGCCTTTAGAGTCTGTGGGCCGGGAGTTCCCGGGCCATATACTCCATCATATATATATATATATATATATATATATATATATATATATATATATATATATATATATATATATATATATATATATATATATATATATATATATATATATATATATATATATATAATACCCAGTTCTCTTCTGCCACTTCAGGTGACTAACCATTTTTCTCTGAAAAATGAGTTCGTTTATAGAGCTCAATCCTATCACATGTATCTCCATTTAGCTCATGTTCAGACTGAAAATGATTTGAATCAGCATGGATAAGAATGTATGGATAAGAATGTACTGATTTGCATTAAATGCTTTTCCAGCCAGGAAACATTAAATGCCTCGAGATATACCGGAGGACTACTAGTATTGGTTTCGTTTCCAACAAATGTATTATCACCACCATGTTGATTATATTGCTGGCCAAGGTCGAATAACATATCAATAACACCATCATCTTCTTCATCAATAGTTTCTTCGGAGTCGCTACTACTTGCATCCCCTCTACTCGTATGTGGAGTCCCAAATATTCGTGAACTTGATGCTTCCCCATGATAAAACCATGTAGTGTACCCAAGATCGATTCCAGACTCCAAAAGATGAATTTTAACTGTATTCTTATCTTGAACTTTGAGGTTCAAACAGCCTTTGCAAGGACATCTTATTTCTCCCTCTCGACCATTAAAGTTTTCAACAAATTTCATGAAAGAGTTCACTCCATCTATATAAGTAGTGGACCATTTAATTGCATGGATCCAACTCTTGTCCATTTGTATCCCACCTGGAATATAAGAAAATATTGAAAGATCAACCAAGTTGAGAATTAAAACCCATATTTAACTTAGACTTCTAATTTGTTTAGATCATATAAGCCTAGTAAATATCCTGATAGTTGTTTTTGTTAGTTTTCTAATAAATATCTCTACTCTCTGTATGCCTCCGTTAAACCAATAATTACTCTCTAGATTTTGGTTAAAGATAAACCAATAATTATCCAATTTAATCTACGAGTTTACAATCCACTTGATTCAGACTTTTCAATCATTTATATAAAAGACACTAACCTCTTGAAGCTCCTCGAGAATTAAAAATAATCTCCTGTCGATAGAGTCTCACAGCTTCTTTGAGTCTCCGCCAGTCACTAAAGTCCAGCACTATTGCTCAAACGTTTCTATATTTTGCTAAAACTTCAAACTATGAAGAATTTACATTTATCGTCATCAAAGTATAACATAAATGACAAAATAATATTGTCACTTTTTATATAAACAATAAATGACAACAATGATTATGTCATTATAATTAGATATTACGTGACACAAGTCGTCGTCATTAATTTAAATTTTTCTTAATATTTCATCAAAAAACTTCTCTCCAATTATATGATAAAAACAGGAACATATCTAGCTCCATTACCACTACCAGTTATGAAAGTTCCTTTCTTCCTTAAGATTAGTGAAATACTCAAGAGCAAATTATTGTCCTCTGTTCAGTGTGTAAGGAAATAAAAAACAAATATAGTGATATTGTTTATATATTATATACGTTTCAATTAAGGAATGTCATTCATGTCTTATTTAGAACCTTATACATTTCAAACAATACATATTCATTGGACAAAATTCCAACAAAAATACAACTTTGAATTGATTTATTGATTGTCTAACAAAATGAAATTCTTGGAGAAGTTAAGTATGAATCTTCTTTTGAGTCATAGATAAAGTTTAGAATCCTTTGTTTACGTAAACAATAGCTCTGTATACATGATAGTATGCATCAGCTAGCTGGATTCAAAATATTTGGAAGGCAGAACAAGGTGAATTGGTTTGTTTTATGTTTTTAGTTTGTACTCTAATATATATACAACAAGTAAATCAAGGATTTGTATTACTTCTACTAAGAATCACCCTCAATAATGATACAAATTAAGGCAAGAAATCATATAATTCAAGCAACACTTATTTGAAAAGTATTTTCACAGGAATTAAGGCAACGATTGAATGGAAAGACAACATATATCATAAACACTCATATAACCCGTTCAAATTCCTCCGGAATTCAAATATAATGCACTCACCTTCGCCTAGGTGATTCTCTGAAGCTACTGTGAGTCGCCGCCGATCGCTGACACTGGTGTAGTCTCTGCCGTCGAAATCGCTGTCTTTCGTGAATTGTTTCTTCTCTGAGGAATTTCCATCCTTAACATTTTTGCCCCAGAATGGACCCTGATAGATGAGAAAAGTCTTTGCTTTCCTCTCCAAGACTTATAAGCGGACAAATATATACAGTAAGAAAATACGAAGGGGAAACACAGCAAGAAAAGGTGCATTTTCAAGAAAAGTACAGACCAAAATTCTCACGAAAAAAATGAGGGAGAAGAAATTAAAGGCCAAGACAACAAGATATCAGCATCCATACATAATACACCTGAAAGTTCAAACAAAAAACTCGATTTTTCCAGCGAAGATCAAATAAAACTGGGACAAGACCTTTTTACTGGAAATTTAAGATGAATAACAGGATAAATTCGATTCAATCAAGAGAAGAAGAGCAGACTTTGTTGGAATCAAGAAAAGATGAAGAAGAACGGAGAAAAAGAGAGCACAAACCTGGAAAACGAAGAAACTGGAAGACGAGCAGCAAGAGGCGAACTATCTGCTGCGGAAGAAGAATGGAAACGTTGGGTATCTCGAAAAATATCTGCTGCGGAAGAAGAATGGAAACGTTGGAGTATTATTATTATTAAAAAAAACTTTTAATGAATGTAAAAGTGTGATCGATTAAAAGTATTCATTATTACGATGTAATTTGCTGGTCTGGTCTGAACTGATTTGATCTGGTCTGGTTTCTTTGTATTTTTATAGTTATTCAAGTTTGGTCTGGTCTGGTCTGCTCTAGTCTAGGAGGAATTATAGTCCAAGTTAAAACATCCTTACATGGAAGCATTAATAAATGATTCGTCGTTACTCAATACAAAAGAAGAATAAAATAATGTTACTAATAGTGCTATTATGACAAATTTAGATTTATCATCACCAAAGAGAAACATCAATGACGAAACAATGTTGTCATTATTTAATAAAATAATAGGTGACAAAATATGATATGTCATTATAATTCAAAATAATATGACACAAATTATCGTCATTAAGTATTGATAAAACGTCACCAAAAAAATTCCCTCCAAAATTTTACGTCAAATTTTGGCGCTCAGAAAATTATGTGACAAACTCATTTTTATTGTCATGTATTTTATCAATTAGTGATGAAATCTAAGAGATAAAGTGACCATAAAAAAAATTGTCATAAAAATTCATTTTAAAGTGACGAAATCATATTTTGTAACTATAACTCAGTTAAATGTGACAATTTTTGTTTTGTCACACACATTTTTGTCATAAAATGTTTGATTTCGTGTAGTGTGGACTAATCATCAGAACTCTCGACAGCGTCGGTTGTCATTTCCTTCATGAAATGACGGTCTAGTGCCTATGTTAACTTCTTAATAATCGCGGAACAAGAATTTAATAAAGTCGGCAACGTCTTAATATAGAACGAGTTTGAGCTCGCAATCTCTTGAGACGCTTATTTGCTTCCACGATTGCATTTGAGGAACTATAGCGGTATTGTCGTACCTAAGCAAGTCACTGTAGAAACAAGTGTAATAGTACTCTAAAAATTAAATGTTTGATAAGTAACAAGTTTCACTAGTACAAAAAAGGTTTTTCACATCGGTCAAAAAAGGCTTTTCACATCGGTCAAACAGCCGATGTGGTTCCACCACATGTGAAAAGTATTGACTTTTGACATCGATCAAATAGCCGATGTGAAAAGTCTTTCTACATCGGTCGTTTAGTGCCCGATCTCGAAGATAGTCCGAAACGGCGTTTTTAATGATATTTCACATCGATTATAACCCATGTAGAAAAGAAACCACATCGGTTGTTTTACAACTGATGTAGAAAAGCTTCAATTTTTCCCGGAGCATAGGTTTTTCACATCGGTTATAACCCATGTAAAAAAGAAATCACATCGGTTATTTCACAACTGATGTGAAAAGCTTCATTTTTTTTCAGAAGATGTGTGTTTCACATCAGTTATAACCCATGTAGAAAAGCAATCACATCGGTTATTTCACAACTGATGTGAAAAGATTCAATTTTTTCGGTATTTTTCATGAAAAAAATTTGCAATATGACCCCTGTTTATACTATAATCACATCATTATCAGTATATTAACTACTATAGCACAATTTTTCACTTGTTCACTTGATCCAACTAAAACAATAACATAATCTATTTTTCAATTCTTCCACAAATATTAAACAAGTTCAAGTAACAACTTAGTACATAATAATAAGCTAAAATAAAATAATCCTTGCACAAGTCTAGAGTAATAACACATTGTATAAAGTTACAAGTCTCATCATCACTCAAAAACTTAAACAAACACGTTCATCATGTGTCGTTGATGGATTGCGTCATTTCTAAGAAATATGATGCCCAACGAGTTCGTACTTCATCAATCTCTTCTGATGAGAATGGTTCCGGATTGGCGAATCGCTACAAATTAAATAAGAAGGTTATTTAAAAACATTACATGTGGAGCAAACCTATTGAATGTAAATAAAATAATAACGTACCTCATCCCACATTTCAAGAATTACCGCCGAAACAATATTCAACATATGCAACATCACATAATAACCACATTCATAACTCCCAACTTGCATCCGAGACTAAAAATTAGAACAACATAATTACTAATCAGAAATTACGGTATTCGACTTGGTGCTACACAAATGAAAGTAAAAATAGCATACAAAGTAAAGTAGTAAGTATTTACCATAGGAATAATCCATTTCACTCTTCCCTTTCTTGAGTTGAGCCTACGGCTTGTCTCCATTGCACTATGTAATTTATAATATTAAATATATAGATATATATAATAATAATAAAAATTATGTAATTAAGATATACAGTATATATTTAAAAATTAAATAAAATGGAATGCACAAAATACTTACGCATCAATAATATTTTTGAATTGTCCGTTTGGCTTATTCCCCAAAGAACACAAGAGGACAATAGTGTTTTGGACAGGAGAGAGGATAAAGAGTTGTCAATGATTCCTGTATACATAAAAAAGGGATAAAAGACAAATAGCCCCCTTCCCAGCCCCCTCCCCAGCTCCACAGCCCCTTCCCCAGCCCCTCCCCAGCTCACCAGAACCCTCCCCATCCCACCAGTCCCATCCTCAGCTCCCCAGCCCCCACCCCAGCCCCCTCCCCAGCTCACCAGCACCCTCCCCATCTCACCAGCCCCCTCCTCAGCTCCCCAGCCACCTCCCCAGCTCCCGAGTCCCCTCCAGATCCCACCAGCCCCCTCCCCATCCCACCAGCCCCCACCCCAGCTCACCAGACCCTCCCTGTCCCACCAGCCCCCTCCCAGCTCCCCAGCCCCCTCCCCATCCCACAAGCCACCTCCCCAGCCCCCTCCCCAGCTCCCCAGCCCCCTCCCCAGTGACAGAGAGATGGTAAATCTAGGTTACGAAGTGTATACAGATGGATTGACTCGTGTCTTGAAATTTTCTGAGTTTGCTGATAGACGCAGAGGGGATACTTTATTCAATTCTAGAACAAAGATGCAGCTAATAGTGTCAAATTTGGCAATTCAGTTACTTGAGTGTGTAAGACAGGACAGTCTCTGATGTTGTGCCCCCCATCCCTCTCTCCCCCAGGGGCAAGAAATCAAGTCTCCACTACTAATTTCAAGAGTCAGTTTATATTGGTAGTAGTTTCATTTTTTATTTGACCAAACTAAATGCATAAATACATGCTGGCAAAAAACTAGTACAATAGTGTTGAATCTTGAATCTTGAGTATTATCTTGTACGTCTATAGCAGAGTATCAAGTATGTATATAATTGAAATCAGTTCAGACTGGCTGAACCGGAATTTAAAATATTATTATTTGTTTAGAGTCTTAGACACTTTTTTATCTAACATATAGTACGTATTCAATTATCTAGTGATTCACATAGTTCAGGCATTGACTTCTTTAAACTTTATATTTACATATTTAGATGCACAATTTTAATTGAAAAAAAAGAAAGAATAAGAGCTAGTAAATCTAATACCAGTTTGGTCTGGTTAAACCCGAAATAATTTGTTCCTGTCTAATACCAGTTTGGTCTGGTTATACAAGAATAATGTGTTTCTATATTAGATTATTAGACCGTAATTATGCCAGTCCAGTCTTTAGCCTAATGGTTTTGGAGATAGCCACTCTATTCAAAGATATTCACATGACTATCCAAAACTTTGAACAAAAAATGCAAAAATATACAGAGTATCAAGTATGTATATAATTGATGAAATAATTCATATGTTGTGTTTTTATATATAATTTCTTGTTTTTATATAATTGAAATGGCATACCTGGATGGTGATGGATGATTATTACCAAATAACACTCCCCGAACAGCAACTGAGGCAGCAACTAAGTGCTGAAGATTCTCGGTCCCGAAATTTGTGGCAATCATATTTTTGGATGGTGAAAGAAGGAAATCAGCATCACTTAAATAAGAAGATACAACCCAGGCATCATCTACAGCTTCTTCATTTAAAAAATCTAGTTGAGTTTGGAAGCATAAATTCATAGTACTAATTGTTTGTATAAAAACATTACACCATACATGATACATTCATGCAAAAAAAGCATAGTGGTATGTTTTGTGTCGGATGGCCATCTAAAACCAGTATGATCATTATTTAATCCAACATTCAGGGAAAATATCATGAGATGGTGATGAATTGAGGCAAAAAAATGAAAGACAAAAGTTACAGAACTCATAACCCCATTCAGCCAAGCAAATAGGAACAGTACAATTCAACTATCACACGTGAAGAATTAGTATCTTCGTTCTCTCTTTTGTTGTGTAGAAATTTCCCTAATGCATGGAACAAAGAAATGGTTTCATCTCTCCCAAATGTCATAGATATTTGATTATATGAAGTATTGGCATGTCTATACTTTCTTTTGAAGGAGTAGAGTAACAGCTCGAGGAAGGTTGAGAAGGCATTGACTGTTGGTTCAGGAAAAAGTACTGTAATGATGTAATAGCATTCCTGATATCACCTCCACTTGCTTTTGATATTGCTTCAAATAAATCAGCAGTAACATTAACTTGTTCCATTCGGCATATTTTTTCAAGACATTTTTTCATAGAATTGAATGTAATTGGATTCAAAGTCACCTGAAAATTTTCTATTTAGTTACAACCAATAGATAAGGGAGGAATTAATCTGCATACTCCCTCTGTCCTAAAATAATTTAGGTTTTCAAAAACTGCATGCATATTAAGGAGCCTTACGAAATGATCATCCTATCCTTGTTTATGGCATTAAATGCATTTCATTTACTTAAAGGTATAAAAACATTTACTATATAAAGAGTTACAATGGTCAGATTTGGAAGTACAGTATAAGCATTTAATTCTTAAAACATCACTTATTTGGGGACAATTGTTTTGGAGAAAATGACAATTAATATGGGTGGAGAGAGTATTAACTCATTAAGTACTTCAAGGAATGCAACCTTACAAGCCCCAGCAGATTCCAGAGAGACTGGAGGAGTTCCTCTGGGTAACGCATGTGGAAGTCGGTAGAGTCAGCCTTATTGTGATCCGTGAAGAGCATGACTGTGGGAATACGAACTCATTGAACAAGAAGTGTTAAGCACCTCTTGAGTCTTTAATAGGTTACTTTTCCATTTACAACTGGAAGATCATCAATTACAACTAGTGCCAGTGGTCGTGCAGTTACAGATGAAAGAAGTATCCCATACTTTCTCATCCTTTCCACAAAACTTTCAAACTCATCCAACTTGGACATGTACCATAGACCTAGAGCAGAGCAGCGAAATTACAAAATTAGCTACTAGAGATGAGAGACCAAAGTTACATACAACACGCAAAGGGGGAAACAAGATTCTATTTAAAGTCATAATAGTTCCCAAATGATATATATTATCTCTATACAGGTTGTCATAAATGAAATAAAAGAACATGGATCAATTTCAACAATGCTACTAAACAAAAGTACGACCACACACTAAGCATGAGAAAGACCACATTGTAAATACATATCTTCTTGAAGGAACACATAAACAGCCATTGTGTACAATGCAAATGGTGTCTGCATCGATTAGTGGATTTAGTGCGCCTGTGAGGTACCTGAGTTGGAATGATGCAAATGTTCTTGCCAAATCGTCGGAGTAGGAGTATTCCATTCACAAATATCAGCTCCAATAAGTGATGCAATAGCGTGAACAGTTGTCTTGAGATGACAAACACCAAACCATTTTCATATAATCATATGTGGAAAGAACAAGAAAATTTCATTGAAAGCGGAAATTATTCATAAATGTAAAAGCAACTTACAGATTTTCCAACTCCGTCCTATGCCTGCTCGAACGGCGTCATATGCTCGCTCAAGACCTGCAATTTTCGAGCAGAGGCAACTATACGCCATAGTCGCGCGCGCCAGTTGCGGCTGGTCGCTAGTCCAACTTAAGGTCAGGAGTATGATGTCGGTTCCGTCTCTGGTTGCTCGTCGCTGGTCATTGGTCGTCCCCCATTGCTGCTCACTCTGTTGAATTTGTTTCGCTAGGTTTGACATCCTCCTAAACAAATAGACGCGCGTTTGATAAGGCTTTAACTCATTCAGGTCGGTTATACCCGATCTGGAATAAGGAAGGGGCGATGGTTTTCGCAGCTTTTCTAAATGGGTTTTAAACGATGTTAACAAAACTTTTGTTAATTAAAAAGATGACCCCATTTTTTCTATGACATTGGTTGCACATACAGCTGATGTAAAATATTTAATAAAATTCTAAAATATACCCCGTTTCACTATTTAACATCGGGTATAACAACACATGTGAAAAAGTTTATAAAAATTATAAAAAATGACCCCGTGTCAATATTTCACATGGGTTATACAATAACACATGTGGATAAGATGATGTAAAAAGCCTTTTTTGTACTAGTGTTTGAAATGAGGATCAAGATTAAAAACAATAGCATATATTGGCGGAATGTAGGCATAATATTTTAAAAACTTTTCTTTGATGTGAATCGTAATGTGCATCATTTTGGAGCGTTCTCACCGAAACCGGGCATCATTAAGGTGTGTTTCTCAACGAAACCGGGCCGTGTATATATACATACACATACATACATACATACATACATACATAACATATAAACATATAGGTAGTATAATAATATTATACTCCGTATGTAAAAGCACATACACACATACATATACATAATAGACATAAACACATCTATGTGTTTTAAGGGCTGTTTATTCGACTTAATGAATTAGCTAGTAAAACTTAATTAAGAAGAAAATCCTATTTTTATTTCATATTTTTTCACTTCTTTCTAGTTTTAGTTTACAAACTTTTATTGTTTATATCTTATTGATATTGATAAAAATGTGTAATTTTTAAACATCGAAAAAGAAAAGTATAACTATTGAAGAAGATGAAGTTTGAATATAATCTTTTGTTTATAAAAGTCAAATAATAGGATAGATTTATTAATTTGATGATAGTTTGGGATAAAACAGCTAAGTAAGCTAATAATGTTATGTGGTATGTTATATACATAGGTGCAAGGAGAATGAGCGGACGGGAATGAATTAATTAATATAATGTGCAGAGTGATGTCATGTCATGCAACAAACAAACAAATACTCCGTAGCACGCAGTAAAAAAGTGATGAACCAGTACCATACCTGTTTCAACTTAAACTAAATGCCACTGGTGTTTCTAACCTAAAAAATCATCCAATTTTGACCCGGCAGGCCACCTGAAACAGGCTAGGGAATTTCGCACTATAAAAACCCACCATAGCTTAGCTTTCCTCCCAGGCCAGGCCAATATATATATATCACCTACATCTGATTATCTCATAACCGATCTAGTAAGCTAATTAAGATATATATATATATATATATATATATATATATATATATATATATATGGAAGGCAAGAAAGGAGGCGGCATTAGGCTATTTATGGCGGCGGCTGTGTTGCTTATATTGTCTGGGCTGCAACCAACTTCGGCCAACCTCATGAAAGTCGCTTGCGTTGGGGTGTGCATGAGAGAATGCAGGACCGCCGGAATTGGGCTTCCCGCCTGCCTCAAGTTCTGTCCCATGCACTGCATTCCGCCCCTCCCTCCACGCCAAGTTTTCCATTGTAATCTCGAATGTCTTAACCAATGTGTCGCCAGTGGTGCCATCGGCGTCGGCGGCGGTAGCGATGGCACCAACATCATTTACAGCAACAACAAAAACAACAACAATAACGGTACATCCACCTTTTCCGTTTCAATTATTTCTCTTAAAATAATTTGTAAAGTCAACTTTTCTTAGTTAAGGTAGTTTCAATTTCTTATTACTTATTCTAAAACGATGAAAGTGATCGGAGGCTAGGCAAGCGTTGAAAATCAAATGAAGTACTTATCTTGCACCTAGCTAGAATAGAGGTTGATATTGATTTGATACACTAGTGCTTTGATGGCTTTCTAACTTATTACTACGTATTATAATATATATATACTCCGTTCCGTATGATATATATGTGTATGTGTGTTAAGACTACCATCCTTAAATTGTGACGATTAATTAAATACTTACATAATTATTTTAATTAATTAACCAATGAATAATTAATTATATGTGCAGATGCGGCAGATCAACAGAAGCAGGAAAGTTGTGTGTCGAGCTGCAAAAGTGAGAAATGCGAAACGTCTCCTCCTTAATCACAACCATTAATTAATATAATGAAGCCCGATCATGTCCTCGATCAGCTCTCAATTCGTTTCTAAATTATATATTATTAGGGTTTCAAAATAATTATTGTTATTATTACTTAGCTTATTAATGATGATTTGGGCTTCTAATTAGTTGAGCGTTTGTACTTTCATTTTCATGGATAAAATATATGTACGTGCCATTAATTATATTTGTCTCATATAGTACGTCAGTCGTCATATATACGGTGTGGAATTAATTAATTACTTGAATATAATTAGCGATTAATCAAAGAGTAATGGCCTTGTATTATTAATTAATTAATGGAGTATTATTTTTAGATTTAAATATTATAAAATTCTAAACTAATGCCGCGCGCATGCATGTCATATTTGTTGGGAGATGTATCGAAGTAATTGTACGTACGTACGTACGTACGTCCAGGCCAGCATATGTGCAAAGAGCATCAGGTAAACAAATTAAAGAATATGTACAACTTTAATTTATCCATCTCCTAATTTCCTGCCGTTAAAGAATACTTGTATAAATTGAAATTCCCGGCCTGATCAATGCTCACAACTATCTCCTTCCTCGTGTTTTAAGTACTTGTGTAAACCTAGCTTAGGGAACCAACCGACACTATATGATTAATTTAATTAGCACGTACTATATTAAGATCTGAACTACTACTCCTATCAAGTTGATTTTTTAGGATGTAACATCAGATCTTAACATTATGGATTGTAATTGAATTGATTTCTACGGATTTTGAAATATGGTACTTCATCACCTCCGGCTCTCGAAAATCATGCAAGGGGATCGGCCGGAGAAAGAAAGCTGATGCATGCCTACTCTTGCTGAGGAAATGAACCGCAGACAGATGTTTGAAACCTTCTCATGTTGAGGAAATCGAAAATGCACAAGCTACACATATACTACGTATATACTAGCTTTGGCACCCGCGTTGCGCGAGGTTTGATGCCCAACGACAAAAATATGGCAAATGTGAAGTTTAAAATATCATCAAGGAAGAGTGAACTTAAACTCATGTTTAAACTAACACAAAAATTAGTATTAAAACATAGTTATTTTGTTGCACGCCTAACCCCGTTTGGAGTTAAACGTCAATCATAAGTTTGTGTATTTTTTAGAAAAAATAATGAGCATTTGAAAGACAGACGACACTATTCTTTATTCAATTTATTTATATCAAATTAACCCAAATAGATACGAAATGTAATCCCGACCTGTTCAATTAGCTCCGAGCTTAACAGGCCGCCCTCAGCTACTCGAGGTCTGTCTCTTCTCTAATCTGTTCATTTTCCTCATTGCTATGAATTCAGAATTACCCAAAAAGGTTGATCATAATATAGCAGCTATGAAACAGAAAGAAAAGTAAGCAGAACAAGAGATCGATTGATCGATATAGAGGGAACCTTTTGGGAAGCCCCGTCTGGATCACAGTTGGGAGCCTTTGCACCACTGGGTAATGACGGTGATGACGATGATGATATCATTGGTCAAAGTTGATTGTCATAGACCAAGAAAAGTCAATTTGGCGAACCTTTTTGAGATGGAGGGAGTATAATTGTGTTAGAGGTTGTAAATAACCTTTTTGAGATGGAGGGACTATAATTGGGGTTCGTATATGGTGCATCCGGGTGTATGTACACCCGACCCAAATAAGAAAGACAGCCCAACAATGAATACAAACTAAAAAAAAATTCAGTGGCATTTTTGTAATATAAGCGAAAAGTCACGGTTTCCGCTAAATGAGCAATAGTGTACATGTAGTGAGCATCTGATCTATTTTATTGAGTATTTAGAGCCTAACAATGAGTATCCTGATTTTTGCTCCATATCTTCTAATTCAATTTTTTTACTTATTTTTTCTTTTATAAAAAGTAATTGAATTATATCTATAATACACTCCTATGAATTTCCATATGCGAATTTAATGCAATATGATACTTTTAAAATATGCATTGTTATAACATTTTAAAATGAGCATAACATTGGTACCAAATGAGTATACGTAACTTATAAAATGTTTATTGATATGAAAATCGTAAGATTTGTTAGTTTAACATAACGATATGTTCATTGAGCACCAAACCTCATTTATTGAGATGAAAATCAAGCTTTCTGTTAAATGAGTATACCATTATTACCAAATGAGCATGCATAACTTACAAAATGAGTATCAAAAAATTTAAAAACGCATTTTTGTGTGCTCATTCAATTTGGATGTTATACTCATTTGAATTTAACATAAAACTCATTTCTATTGTGCTCAATATGTGTTCAAATTTCATTTGTGTATTGATATGACATATGAATACACGAATTTTCTTTTGGCTCTTTTGATCGATCTTTCTTCCTAAATCTTGTTTCTCCTAGCTCGGATTTTCCTCCTCTTTCTTTTCCACCGATTGGATTTGGAAGATTTGGGTTTTTAAGATGGAAAACGACGGATTTCTGAAGATTTGTGCGCAGCAATTTACTATTCACAGTTTTGATTTTATTGTCTTTAATCCAAAATTTGACGGTTGTTGTTGGAATCAAAGAGTGTTGTGGGGGTCACCACCTCTAGGCGCACCTCCCCAACCCTTTTCCGGTGGCCGAAGGTGCTGTTTGGCCGGAGTTAGCAAAGAGCAGTTGTGCCCACCACTGTTCAGAGCAGTCTGGTTTTTTGTTCGTATCTCCCAAACGACATGTTTAAATCAAATTCTGAGAGTTGTTCTGGACTCGTCTTGCTGAGGCGAAGCTTTTGACACCGATTTCGTCCAATTCGAGTAAGTTTTCCGTTTTCCCCAATTTGAAGCCATCCTTCGAGCGGAGAACAGGGCAGGCACGCTAGCGGACTCCAGCTCCATGAAAGAAACAGCGGAAGCTTGAATCATCGGACAGAGAAGTTGATAATAATTTCAAAAATACCCAGATGTACGGTGAGGACCGTACATCCGGGTGTACGGTATAATTTGCCCTTTAATTGGGTTAGAGGTTAAGTAAATGATCGTTATTTGAAATGGAGCCAGTAGTTCGTTAATTTGTACGGTTTGTGCTTAATTTAACGGGATAACAAAAAGTGCTCAATACATTTTGTTGTTGGTTATCGGTTGTTTACTTGTTTGGTTACAATAGTGACAAGTATTGCTCTTATGTGGCAGAGAAATAGAGACCAGCATTACCAAGAAAAAGAAAACGGAAAATGGAAACTAATAATCTAACATTTTAGCGGTATTCTTACAATAGTCTCATCTTTTCATTATTTATGAATAATCCAACCTTTGCACATCATCTTTATTCACCGATCCCTGACCGATTTATGAAATGTTATTCCAAGTAATTTTCTTATCTTTGCAAAACATTATGTGATCATAAGGTGGGAATTATGGTATAATGTTTTCCAAAGATAAGAAAATAACTTGGAATAACAGGTCATAAATCGGTCAATGACCAGTGAATGAAGATGGGGTGCAAATGTTAGATTATTCATGAATAATGAAAAGGTGGAACTATTGTAAGAAGATCGCTAAAAGGTTGAATTATTAGTTTCCATTTTCCCAAAAAAAAATCATTCTTTGCGAAATAGAAATTAGCGGATTCAAGGAACGGAAGAGGTATAATTATGTGGTTCCAATTTCCATCCTTTTTTTTACTTATTCACTTTCAACAACCTGTTCAATTTTGAATCAGATGGGAAGTGTAAGATTAAATTCCAAGATCGACATCATATAATTACACATAATTATATACAGATAGATCTGAGATTTAGAAATACCTAGATCCATGATAGATGAATGATCTGGAATAAATCCCTTATCCCCTCTAGTCTCTTTTCTTATGAGATTCTTGACAGGTAGGTAGAGATCTCTCACTTATATGGTGTTGTTATTCCATAGGGAATAAGCATATATATAGAGGGAGAGGAGAGGGTTGGGGAACCCTAGTCCTAGACAGAAACACAGGTTCAACCTATCATTAAACCAGATAAAGGTCTAGGACTATATGAACTCTATTAATAATATATAACCCCAATTACATGACCAATATTAGAATATTAATTATGGAGTAATAACTAAATATATTCTAACATTCTCCCACTCGGTCATGTGATTCTTGATGAATTGATAAAAACTTAAATTGCGCAATATTCATCAAAACAAACTCATCAAGAAAACACTTAACTGAATTTCAAATTGAATGGATCATGACGGTTACACACCATTTATACTGACATGCTCCCTTCCATGTATCACAAGACAATTCTAATTCATCCTTATCATTTGAGAAATCTGAAAGTCTCAAATCTTAAATTTGAGGAATACTTAAATCTTCAACACTTGTTATCACTACAAATAATTATATGTGATCACAATCGAATAGATAACAAGTAAACCAGAAACATAATCTTTATTGAATTCAAATGAGTGTCTAAATAGTAGTATATAAAAATGAGCAAACATAAATCACTGACAAAATTATCAAAGCAAGGCTTTATCAACAACACCCATAGTAATTACATGATTCTTAAACACTTTGGGTGACAATCCTTTAGTCAGCGGATTCGCAATCATTTGTTCAGTGCCAATATGCTCAATAAACACTCTATGTTTCTGAACTTCTTCCTTAACTGACAAATACTTCAAATCTATGTGCTTAGCACCTTTAATGTACCTATCATTCTTCATGAAGAAGACTGCTGTGAAATTAAATTTTCAGCGACTTAGCTATACTGTCGACGATTCTAAGTCCTGAAAAAAAGTTCCACAGCCACAAACCATGAACAGTGGCCTCAAAGTATGCCACAAGTTTGACCTCCATAGTAGAAGTAGCATTAGCTATTTGTTTACTACTCTTCCAAGATACTATGAACACAAAAACTAGATGTTGACTTTCTACTATCAACACATCCAACAAATTTGAATCTGAATATCTAATCAGCTTAAGATGATATCTCCAAGAAATATTCTCCCATGTTCATATGTTGGAGACCTCCTTCCAAGAAGGTGATAGGTGCCTCTTGGCAAGTTCCAAGAATGAAGGTGGAAGATCACTACAATTAGTGATTTAGGATTTCCAAGATGAATAATTACTTCCATCTTTAGATAATTTGATAGGGATTTGGGATGAAGCAGTATGAGTGGGGAAGATGAATCATTTGTTACAGGAATAACAATATTCGTAGATGCGGAAGAAGGCATAGTTCAGGATTCAATCAAAGATGATTGAGGCTCTGATACCATAAAAGAATATGAATTAAACGAACTGATTTTTGTATATATCTCAAGGTAGTTGTACAAGTATTATTTATACT